TTGGGGTAAGTACTTTTGACTCGGTTCTGATTATATTACATGAATCTAACTTTGATTTTGGCATTTGATTGATGATTCTAAAAGAGAAATTGGGGGATTTTGTCTAAACATTCCTAAAGTAAATAATTAGGTTTTGAACATCAATTCGGAGTCGGATTTGAGTGAAATTAGTTTGGTTGGACTCGTACTCGAATGGATTATCGGAATTTGTGAGTTTTGTTGAGTTCTAAGGTGCGGGCCCAGGCCCACATTTTGGTCGACTTTGAGTATGTGATTAAAGATTCGACCTTTATCACTTGGGTTTGTTTCCTATTGCATTATTTGATGTTTTTGAAATATTTTTGGCTAGTTGCGAGCAGTTTGAAGGTTGATTTGTGCAAGATGGAATTTCTAGAGTATTGTTTGGCTTGCTCAGTATTTGATTTGGCTTTTTTTTAGGTAAGTAACATATCTAAACTTGGAATTGGGGGTATTTATCCTGAAAATTATGATATTTGAGATGTGTTGGGGGTGACACACATGCTAGGTAACGGGCGTGTGTGTATGCACCGGGGTATTCATGATCCGGATAGTTCTTATGCTAATATATGCCTTATTTTTCTATCATGATGACTCAGTAGTGAGACTCGAAATGAAGGGGATGAGGCGACCCCGGTTCGGGATGGCCGGGATCATCGGCATGTGCAGGAATCGACTCCCAATGATGCGGAGGAGGAACATGTCGCGGAAACGGTTAAAATCCTGAGAGTACAGTAGAAAGCAATCATGAAACACCTCTCAAGGCAGGATCGGGTAATGACGGAGTTAAAACAAGAATTGTCAGGCGCCTCCAATAACGCGAACGGAATGGGCCCGATTCCTCCCAGTGTTCCTGCAAACCAAACGGCTCAGAGGGTCGATAACAACACCACAAGGGGTGAAGTCGATTTCGACAAAGCCGGAGGGACCAGTAGAGGATATGGGAATAACAACTGGAATGGTCCCTTCAAAATCGAACTCATAAGGTTTATGAGGGAAATGAACGAACGAATAGATCAAAATGCGAAAGAGTTTCACGCTCGGATGGATTAGATTCTGGGCGCGCCACCAATACTAAAAGGCCTAGATTCGAAAACCTACACGTAATTGCCGTTTAACTCGAGCGCAGTACCAGAGTTAATTCCAGTGAGGTTTAAGATTACGGACATACCAAAATACGATGGGACTTCGGATCCGCAGGAGCATATCACAACCTACACCACGGCTGTGAAAGGGAACAAGTTGGCTCAACATGAGATCGAGTCGGTCTTGCTGAAGAAGTTTGGTGAAACCCTCACAAAGGGTGCCCTGACATTGTATTCTCTCTTACCCCGAGCATTCAATTGACTCTTTTGAGATGCTTGCAGACTCTTTCAATAAGGCACATGCCGGAGCAAGGAAGGTTCAAGACAGAAAGGCGGACATATTCAGGATTGCGCAGGGCGAGTCAAAACTACTACGAGAATTCGTGATCCGGTTCTAAAAAGAGAGGATGTTATTACTGGTGGTACCAGATGAGTGGGAAGCAGAGGTGTTCACAAATGGTCTGAATCCATGAAGCTTCGATGCCTCTCGAAAGCTGAAGGAAAGCCTGCTCCAGTTTCAAGCAACCCCATGGGCGAATGTACATAATCGTTACGAGTCAAAACTAAGGATAGAAGATGATCAGCTCGGGTTCCCGGTATCAACCAAGGGACAGGATCGAGATAAAAAATAGGACAAGTTTAAAAGCGACTTTGATGCGGATCGGCGGTCCTCTAAAGGTCGTTTTATGTCGTATAAAAGAATCGAAGGTCATAACAGCAAAGGGTTTTCATCATCGGATAAGTTTGCTCCCGATAGAAGAACAGATCGTGGCCGAAGCAGCAGGTCGTTACAGGAGAAAGAGGTGCCAGGAGCCCGAGACTCTACATATCCCAGGTTATCAAATTACAACTTTAACATTAGTTTAGTCTAGTTTGTATCGGCAATGAGGAATATCAAAGAAGCACAGTTCTCGAAGTCAATCAGATTCGATCCATGCTAGAGGGATCCCAGTTTATGGTGTGAATACCATGGGATTCACAGCCATAGAACTAAGGACTGCTGACATCTTCGTGAAGAGGTGGAGACATTGTTGAAGAATGTCCATCTTAGGGAATTTTTATGTGACCGAGCCAAGAACAACTACGGCCGAAGCCGGGACAATGCAGAGCCTTCGGAGGTAGTAAAAGGTTCCCCTCGGCTGACTATCAACATGATTTTCGGAGGAAATAAAGTCAACGATGTAACCTTTTTAGCAGCAAAGAAAATGAAGATATCGGTGACTCACAACAAGAAACTTCAGGAAGTCGCAGAAGATGACATCACTTTCACGGAGGAAGATGCTGACAGACTTCTTATGCCGCACAACAACGCTTTGGTAATCTCTCTCAATATTTTAGATTTCAAAATTAAACGTGTTTTGGTTGACCCAGGAAGCTCAGCCAACATAAAACAATGGAGAGTTTTTGAGCAAGCAAAATTAATCGGGAACACCATTCCGGCGACAAAACTCTTAGTTGGCTTCAACTTGACAAGCGTGACAACCCGAGGAGAGATTTTGCTGCCCACACACACCAAAGGAGTAGCAAAAACCACTCTATTCGAAGTGGTAGATGGCGATATGGGTTACAAATTAATACTCGAAAGGCCGTGGATACATGAGATGAAGGTTGTACCCTCAACATATCATCAATTGTTGAAATTCCCAACCCTGAAAGGAATCAAGAAAATAAGAGGAGATCAACCGGCAGCAAGGGAGATGAACGCGGTGACTGTTTCTAGCAGCAAAGGGAAGAGTCCAACAAATAGCAATGTGTAGGTCGTGGTTTTTAATCCCGTGAGCTGGGAGTTTTTCACGTAAAATGCTGTTGTGTTATCTACATACTGCTCTGTGTGTGTGTTTTGTGTTAACTGATAAAGAACCAAGTTTTCTATATATTTTGGTGGACTCTTAGCTTACATCATACATGAACTGATGCCTTCTCTCTTTCTGAATGAAGACGATAAGAGCGAGGAGTCATCAAAATCCTATCAGGTTCAAAGATATTTTCAGGTACCAGAGGAGACGGATGCGACCAAGTCGACCACAAAGGAACTTGAGCAAGTGGCCTTATTCGAAGAGTTTTTGGAGCGGAAGTTTCACCTAGGGACAAGGTTAAATCCCGAGCTCGGGTTAGGGTTTATAAATTTTCTTAAAGCTAACGCAGACTGCTTTGCATGGTCACACTCAGATATGACAAGTATCCCATTGGAGGTAGCAAGCTGAATCTGGACGCAAATTTCCCACAGGTAAGGCAAAAGAAATACCAGATAGCAGAGATCATGAACATGTTTGTTAAAGAAGAGGAGATAATTTGAAACACCTCCAAGAGACTTTCGACATCCTGAGGAAGCATAACATGAAACTCAACCCGGAGAAATGCGCGTTCGGTGTTGGTTCCGATAAATTCTTGGGGTTCCTAGTCTCGCAAAGTGGTATCGAGGTAAATCTCGATAAAATTAAAGCTATTGAGGACATTCCAGACCAATTGACAAGTGTAAAAGAAGTACAGAGACTGACTGGAAGGTTAGCAGCTCTAAGCAGATTTATCTCGAGATCCTCAGAGAAGTGTCATCACTTCTTTTCACTGCTAAAAAAGAATAATAATTTTGAATGGACTCCGGAAAGTCAGTAGGCCTTGAAAGACCTGAAAAGGTACCTATCAAGCCCATCATTACTGTCAAAACCAGGGGAAGGCGAACAGTTGTTAATATATCTAGCGGTCTCGGAAGTAGTGGTAAGTGTCGTTTTGGTCTGAGAAGAAGAAGGTACGCAAATTCCCATTTGTTATGTTAGTAAAATATTCTCAGGAGCAGAAACTCGTTATCCGCACCTCGAAAAGCTGGCCATATCTCTCTTAGTTGCTTCTCGAAAGCTCAGACATTATTTTCAGTGCCACCGATAGTCGTTGTGACAACCTTTCCCTTGAGGACTGTCCTTCACAAGCCTTAGTTGTTAGGCCGTTTGGCTAAATGGGTAGTCAAAATTAGTTAGTTCGACATTGAGTATAAACCTAGGACTGCGATCAAGTCACAAGTTTTGGCCGACTTTGTGGCCGATTTCAGTCCCAGGTTAATGCCCTTGGCTGCTAAGGAAGTAGTGCTTGCGTCGAAACTGACATCAGGAGTTTGGACCTTATTTACAGATGGAGCTTCCAACGTAAAAGGGTCCGATCTCGAGATAGTGCTAATCACGCCCTCGGGGGAAACCCTGAGGCAGGCCATTAAAATTGTTCCGTTAACTAACAATGAAGCTGAGTATGAGGCTTTGGTTGTAGGACTTGAACTAGCCCGGGGACTAGGATCTGAGGTCATCGAGATAAAGTGTGATTCCCAACTGGTAGTAAACTGAGTATATGGGATTTTTGACACAAAGGAAGAGCGCATGCAATGGTATTTGAACAAGGTTCAGGCATTACTTGCACGATTCGGGAAATGGTCAATCATACATATTCCAAGGGAAGAAAATGTGGAAGAAGATGCATTGGCTAATTTGGGGTCATCCACAGAGTTAAAAGGATCTGACTACGGTACTATCGTTCAACTTCTACATTCGATATTGGATGTGGACGATTACTACGAAGTCAATTCAACCAACTTAGTCTGGGACTGGAGGAATGAGTTCGTCAAGTATCTTCGGTATGGTAAACTACCCGAAGACCCGAAGGTGTTTCAGGCACTACAAACCAAAGCAGCTCGTTACTGCCTCGTAGATGGGCAGCTATACAGAAGATTATACCAAGGACCATTGGCTCGGTGTCTAGGGGCCTCGGAGGCGATTACGTGATGAGGGATGTCTACGAAGGGGTTTGTGGGAACCATTCTTGCGCAGACTCGTTAGTTCTAAAGTTGATCAGAGCAGGTTACTATTGGCCTCGGATGCAACAAGACGCAAAGACGTTCGTTCAGACGTGTGATAAATGTCAATGCCATGCACATTTGGTGCACCAACCAGTAGAACTCTTGTATTCGGTGTTGTCCCCATGGCTATTCATGAAATGGGAGATGGACATAGTTGGTCCTCTGCCACCGGGCCCCGTAAAGGTAAGATTTTATTTTAGTTTTAACTGACTACTTCACTAAGAGGGTTAAAGCATGTCCTTACTAGAAGATCAGTGAGCGTGAATTGGTCGACTTCATATGGGACCACATAATCTACCGATTCGGAAAACCGAAGGAAATTACTTGTGACAACGGGCCGTAGTTCATAGGTTCAAAAGTCACAAATTTTTTAGAAGATTTGAAAATCAAAAGGATTACATCTTCATCGGACCATCTAAGTGCTAACGGACAGGCGGAATCAACAAATAAGATGACTATCCAAAACCTTAAAAAGAAGTTAGAAGATGCTAAAGGCAAATGGCCCGATGAGCTACCAGGTGTGCTTTGGGCATACTGGACAACGACGAAGTCGAGCAAGGGAGAAACACCTTTCTCTCTCGTGTATGGCACGAAAGCTCTGATACCGATGGAAGTAGGGGAACCAACTTTAACGTTTTCCCGAACAAATGAAAAGGCAAACAATGAACCATTGCTGGTGAGGCTGGACTTGCTAGATGAACACAGGGACTTGACATACGTGAGGATGGTGGCTCAAAAGCAAAGAATGAAGAGATATTATAATCGCAGGGCCAATCTCTGCTACTTCAAATTAGGAGACTTGGTTTTGAGAAAGGTGACTCAGAGCACTTAGGAAGTCAATACCAGGAAGTTCGGACCAAATCCATCCCTCTTTATGGCGTATAGTAATCTTATTGCGCTTCTTCTCTATTAAAGCCGGAGGGTTGGATTTTTCTATGAACCACCTCATTCGACTGTATCAGCCTCAGATCTTTCGAGGACTAATCAGACTTCATCGTCGGGCATTGAAGGCATTGATGTCGAGCATCGATGAAGACAAGGATCGAGGTTGGATGGGTCGTTATATCCGANTTTACTGTGCAGGCCATTAGTAGGTTTCGAGTCGATCTTAGCCAGTGTGAGGCCGAGCTCTGGAAGGTCTCAGGTGAGAGAGATGCCCTGCGGCTTCTTTGCAGCCAAAAGGACGAGGCTATAAAGGANTTGGATTTTTCTATGAACCACCTCATTCGACTGTATCAGCCTCAGATCTTTCGAGGACTAATCAGACTTCATCGTCGGGCATTGAAGGCATTGATGTCGAGCATCGATGAAGACAAGGATCGAGGTTGGATGGGTCGTTATATCCGAGTAAGGACCCGTGATCTCATTCCGGAGGAGAAGATGCCGTTCCCTGAAGAATGGAATCTTGACCGTAAGTGATTTTTGTTCACTTTTCAGGTGCTTTTCCGATTTTTTCTGATGTCCTTCCCTGATGTTCAACTGTCCCTTGGATGCCACAAGTGGTGCCCGACCTTGAGGACTGGGTTCGAAAGTTGGCCTCGACCTCCTCTTACGCCGAGCGCACTTGGCGTGATTTGGCAAAAGGCAGATGGGAGGCCAAGAACCATGGTGAGGTTTGCTTCTTGTTTCCTTCGAAGTATTCTTTGCGTTCTATTCGTTATCGATTTCCTCTTGTGCAGGCGTAACCAGGGATGCCGTTTTGAGGCCTTCAAGCGGCGAGAAAGGAAACAAGTCCCTAGTCCCTAAACAGGGAGAAGATAAGAAGAAAAAAGCTTTCTCTCGGTCAGAGGACCCCAAGCCCAAAACTCGCAGGGTGAAGAGAAAAACAATTGCCCTTTCGATTGACTCGGTCCAACGACTGAGAGAAGAAGAAGAAGAAAATAGCTCTTTGGCTTTGGTAGTCCGGTCTATGGAGGCCATCGAGGTTGCCAGAGTTCCCGAGCTGATGGCGGTTGTGCCTGTCGGGGTTGCTTCCGAAGACCAGAATCTCGACCGGAGTACTCCGAGTGATTTGCTCGGGGCTATGACAATGGGTGATTCGCCTTCTCTTCCATCTTTTTCTAAGGAGGCGCTGAAGGAAGCTCGAGAATTGAAGACTCCCGATATCGACGCAGGCTCTAGTGCAGGGGATCCTTTTAGGGATTGTTTTACTGGAGTCGACAATGGTTCCGATATCGGTGACGCTTCTCTTTTATTAGAGGAGGCTCAGCGTTTCATTACTCGGATAATGATTCTTCCATACTTGGTTTCTTTGTTCTTTTCCATACTTGACTCGTGTTTCTTACTGTGCAGGCCATTAGTTGGTTTCGGGTCGATCTTAGCCAGTGTGAGGCCGAGCTCTGGAAGGTCTCAGGTGAGAGAGATGCCATATGGCTTCTTTGCAGCCAAAAGGATGAGGCTATAAAGGACCTCCAAGCGGATTTGGCTAAGGTCCGNGGTCGATCTTAGCCAGTGTGAGGCCAAGCTTCGGAAGGTCTCAGGTGAGAGAGATGCCCTGCGGCTTCTTTGCAGCCAAAAGGACTAGGCTATAAAGGACCTCCAAGCGGATTTGGCTAAGGTCTGTGAAGAAGGGGTCGAGCTCGATAAGCAGGTGAACCTCGTTCTGTTAAAGTATGGGTCTGACTCAACCGTGGAAATTAACCCTTCGTTGTCTCAGTTGCAACAAAATATCGAAAAGATCGGGTTACTTCGAGAAGAAGTCGATCAAATCCGAGCTGAATGCAATCGATGAAAGGAGACCCTCGATCGCCTGGCAGCGGAAAAAGAAACCATCTTAACAAAATTATTATCGGCCGNGTGCAATTGGTGGAAGGAGACCCTCGACCACCTGGCAGCGGAAAAAGAGACCATCTTAACAAAATTATTATCGGCCGACATTCAACTTCGAAGTGTCAAGCAAAAGGGGTCGGTTCAAGCTAAGAAGATTGAGGAGCTTGAAACACGACTTGCTGAGGCTAAGGCGGAGGTTGAGTCGTCGAAAGTCTTAACGGATAAGTCCATTGCTGTATATCGGGCTGATGCTGAGGCTGCTCAGATGGAGGCCCGGGCAGCAGCGAAAATTGCCGTTACTCGAGCTCATTAGATTTCCGAACTTTCTAAGTGTAGGTATCGGAGGGAGACCCTCGAGGAGATACACGCTCGAGGTTTCGACCTTACCGAAGAGGTGAAAAAGNAATCAGATGGAGGCCCGGGCAGCGGCGAAGGCCGCCGATACTCGAGCTCATTGGGTTGCCGAACTTGCTAAGTGTAGGTCTCAGAGGGAGACCTTCGAGGAGATACATGCTCGAGGTTTCGACCTTACCAAAGAGGTAAAAAAAGGCAAAACAGCTCGAAGCGGAAGCTGAAGCCTTGGCTTCTGATGATGATGATGATGA